TTGTCTGATAGAATAGAACCCTTAATTGGTTCTTAAAATAAGGAAGTGCATAAGATATGAATCGATTTTATGCATCCCTCAGAATAACTTCATGTATTCGATTGGATTAAACAACGCTCAACTCACCCATAAATATTGAACTTTTTGAATATTCGAATGCATTCGAGGTATAAGATCACCACTGAGAATATATGCCATTCCTTGGCAGTACAGACTGAGTGTTTTACCGGCGTACTCCTTATACGAGAGGTACCTGAAAATTTTGCAATGTCGCCATTAGATTCGTTGACTACTGTAGTGTTTTGATTGGATATTTGAAGAGGCAATAAATTGGAGATCTCAAAACTGAGCGAAAATATTTCCGATTGAATCCGCTGTGTGATTGTGCATCGTATCAGAAAGGCGATCGATACCATTTGGATTTTGGATGACGAGTCACAACGTTACTGGTGAATGTTCGACACAGGATCGAATTCTTTCCCGACGGGAATTTTTTCAGCAATCGCATCACAGCTTCATTATCCATCAAAACATCGTCATCCATTTTGATCACATACTGAAGACGACTGCCACAGCATTCATCCACATACGATACCCAACTTCTGGCCTAGAAATTCCATGTTAAAATATTTTGATTTTGATAAATTCGTTTGGAGTGAATTTTATAAGTCAGTTCCTCTTCGTTCCGGCTTATTTTAATCAAAATTTTTTCATTGTATCTGCAGGGGAAGTGCAGTCGTAGAAGTGAGCAGAATGTAACAGTAAAGATCATGAACAGGCATGAAAAGTCGATTCACCATCAGAATTCCTTTCAAAAATATGATCATCAAGCAAGATGACCATGAATGATGTATTTATTGAATTGGGATTAGATACAGTGATAAGAATTGTTTGATAACATTCTCGGATGTTCGTTGCCTTAGTTCAGTGGTTCTCACGTTCGGGTACTCCATTATCACTTTTGATGATCTGGCAAGCCGCCGGTATCCCCACCCCTCTGATACAAGAACACCATGAT